AAAGCCAGGTGATGGCTCTAGCCTACATGGCAAGCTACAGGAGTGACAGATCCTGTCTCAAAAAAAGGTAGAGAGGGGCTGGAGCATTGGCTCAGCTGTTACAAGTATATACTGCCATTTCCATTCAGTTCCCAGCTTTCGTATCTGGCTCACAATCCCTGCAACTTCAGCTCTAAGGGGATCCAGTGCTGCCTCTGGCCTCTGAGGGCACTTACACTCACATGCACATTACCCACACACGGGTACATAATTAAAAATAAAATAAATCTTTTTGTTTAAAGGGACCTCAGGTTGGAGAGATGGCTCAACAATTAAGAGCACTGGCTGCTTTTATAGATGACGTGGGTTTCATTCCCAGCATACATTTGGCAGCTAACACCCATCCATCCATCATTCTAGTTCCAGGGGATCTGACTCCCTCTTCTGGCCTCTGTGGGCATTGCACAAATGTGGTACACATATCCGTGTAGGCAAAACATGCATGCACCTATCTCTCTACCTCCATGGTATGATTTTTTTTTTTTTGGTCTTTTTGAGACCGGGTCTCCCTGTAGCCCCAGGTGGCCTGGAACTCACTGTGTAGACTAGGCTGGCCTTGAACTCACAGAGATTCGCCTGCCTCTGTCTCCCAAGTGCTAGGACTAAAGGCATAGGCACTACACCTGGCCAGATGGTATGATTTTTAAAAACAATTTAATTTCCTTCATCACCTGCCTACTTGAGTGTCTCTCCACATCAGTCCAACTTTCTTTGATGCATTTAAAGTAGGTTGAGAATAGCAGTACTTGATATGTCAGCTGCACGTATGAGTCCACAGTCTAAAATTAGTAGACTCAAATTAACTGCAAGTAAGGTTATAAAGGCCGAATGTGACTACAAAGAAATGGTGATATAGACCTGTAATCTCAGCAGTAGGGAGACGGAGGCAGGAAGATCCATAATTTGAGGCTAGCTGGGGCTGTGTCGTGATACCGTCAAAAAAAGAAAAGGAAGGAAATGAAAGCTTCTAAAGTTAAGGAGTAGTCTTGTTTGAATATTCGTGGATAATGCAGTGATGAAGTCATTTTCAACTGTATCCACAGAGGATGGAGAGGCACGGGAAAGGGATGAAATCCGGCACGATAGGCGAAAGGAGAGGCAGCACGACCGGAATCTCTCCAGAGCAGCTCCCGATAAGAGGTAGGCTGCTGCTTGACATAAGAGAAACATTTTGGGGCCTAAGAGTTTGTCAACTAAGATCAATTTTGCTTTTTCTCTTTTTCTTCCTTAGCTTGATAGTAACTTAGCACTTAGTTTTGTTGCACTGCATACTTTGTGTTGAATTGACTGTCCCCGGAAGGAACCTTTTCTTCCATCACCCTCCCTGTCCAGTTAGTTAGAATGAAGACTGATGGGGATATGGAAAAGGGAATCCAGGTCGTGTCTGTGAAAAAGTTGTAGAGAATCAAGCTGTTCCGGTCTGTGCTCATCCTACGTGAAATGGTGAGGTAAACTGGAAATAAGCTGCCATGACTTAGACATCCTTTCCTGTGCAGAATGCTGTGCCAAGCACAATGGGTAGAAGCGCAGGTTTTGGAAGAAGATTCTGAGCTGTCATGAGCAGTTTGTCTTAAGTTTCAGGACAGAGCTATTTTACGACATAATTTGGAAATGTTTGCAAATATAAAATGGTATAAAACAAACCAAATAAATGTATGGGGACATAAAGGAGGAATGGGGGAAGTTTCTTTCACCAAATTTCACCAAGGGCTGAGAACTGCAATGGTTGAAAGTAAAGGAGATGCTGTCACACAAAGGTAGAAGTCTGGGTGGGGATTAAATGCAAATGTGAGACATTTCTTCCCCTGTGAGCAATTTTCCATGCTCTGATCATCACAGCGCACAGTTTGAAGTTACATCCCAAATCCTACCTGCTGCTGTGGTTCCTTGTTCACTAGTGTATTTCACCTCCCTGGATAATTGTAGAGAAGTAGTAGACTGAATTCAGAGCTGGGTAAGCCTACAGTACTGAAGAGGAGTGAAGTATGAGTGTGTTCAATTCATGATACTCTTAGTTTGAACTTCCTAAATTGTAAAGTTAAAATGCTCTGCACAGAAATTGGGCCCTTAGAAACCAGTAAAATTGCTTAGAGAATTAATAGCACAGAAAAGCTGTTGAATCAAGTGTATGAATGGTGGGGGGCCCGCACAGGCCTTTAATCCCAGCACTCAGGAGGCAGAGGCAGAGGCAGGCGGATCTCTAAGTTCAAGTCCAGCCTGGTCTACATATTGAGTTCGAGGCCAGCTGGGGCTACAGGGAGACCCTGTCTCAAAAAGACCCAAAAAAGAAAAAAGCTTTTGACTTATAATTAGATGAAAATAAAATTGTATAGAAACCATTTTAAGACATATCTAGTAATGGTGATGACAGTTACCATGGTTTCATTGAGATGTGGATGGCGTTGATACTGAAACAGCAGAGGAATTAATTGCTCTCAGAAGTCTACAGAGTAATCCAGTCATTGTCGTGTTTTCCTCAAAATCCTAGTAGGATAAAAATTTCTAACTGCAGTTAGGTTCTAGCTTACTGAAAATGGTCGATTCATTTAATCCATCAATTTGCATCCAAAAGCCAGTCTCTGGAGTGTTTTTTTGAGTCAATAGGTCTTTATTGTATAATGCCACCTACACACACACACACACACACACACACGCACACGCACACGCACACGCACACACCCGCTAACGGTGCCTCTGAAGTGCTGAAAGGTGAATGTACGATATCAGGGAATATGGGTTCATGAGACAGAAACGTGGCACAGTGTAACATTCATTTCCTCTGCTTCTGAGAATGCATGTATTTAAATTGCATCTATTCATCTTATCTGTAAAGTGTGCTCAGTTAATGACATTGTATTTCAAATAGATCAAAACTGCAGAGAAATGAAAATCGAGACATCAGTGAAGTTATTGCTCTTGGTGTGCCCAATCCCCGAACTTCCAATGAAGTCCAGTATGACCAAAGGCTCTTCAATCAGTCCAAGGTACATGGATTTTAGGAACAGCTTGTGTGTTGATAGAATCCCTGTTCTCAGGGTAAAGAAATTTATATAGGAAAGCTTGGGATGGAAGCCCATACCTGTAATTCACGTGGGCGGCTGGGGCAGGAGGATTGTGGTGAGTTGAAGGCCAGCCTAAACCTAGAATACTTCTGTGACCTTTTACAGTTGGCTGCAATTTGAAATGCTAGTAGGAAATGAAAGAAATAAGGTGACAAAATTGGATCCTGCTACATCTTTTTTCTAAAATAGAGCTAGTTTCTAATAAAAATACCTCATGTGATATTTGTTATTGATCCTTGGGGAAATTTTTTTTTAGTGCTGTGGTATTTTTCTTATCTACTATGAAATAGGAATTTATTTAGCCTGAGCAAAAAAGAGAGATGAAAGTTCCATCCTTTTTGTTTTTTGGGGACACCATCTCCCTGTAGCCCCAGCTGGCCTGGAGCTGGACATGTAGAACAGGCTGAGCTTGAATTCAGAGGTCCCCCTGCCCCTTCCTCTGCCTCTGCCTCCTGAGTGTTGGAATTAAAGGTGTGTGGCACCACTCTGGGCTATGAGTATATATTTTGAAGACCGTCATAATCTTAAAGCATTTAAAAGTTGGATGAAAACTTTTAAGATTTTCATTGAGAGCCTTTATTTTGTGCTATAATAGTGATGTTGTCAGACAGATAAGGTAACATTATTTCTTAGTATCTCTCACAGTTTTTTTAACTAAAAAAAGTTATTTTTATGAGTTTGGCTTCCATTTATGTGGGTGTACCCATGTGGGCAATGCCTGCAGAAGTCAAGAGGACATCAAGTCCACAGGAACTGGAGTTTCAGATGGTTGTGAGCCACCATGTGGGTGCTGGAAACTGAACCTGAGTCCTTGCTCTTACTTAACCACAGAGCCATTTCTCCAGCTCACACTTTTAAACTTTAATGAATACCTTAATTTACTCTAAATCTCTGGCTAAGGACCCAAATATTACAGGTACAAATTTATGTGCCTTATAGATGAAGACCTTTTTTAATGTTTCCATTGAGATTTTTGAAAATGAGTTATAACCATGAAGTGTTTATTCACTATTATTCAGATTCAACTTTTAATGCATAATGTACACATCTTTATTTAATGTTATTTTTCACAGGGTATGGACAGTGGATTTGCAGGTGGAGAAGATGAAATTTACAATGTTTATGATCAAGCTTGGAGAGGTGGTAAAGATATGGCCCAGAGTATTTATAGGCCCAGTAAAAATCTGGACAAGGACATGTATGGTGACGACCTGGAAGCCAGAATAAAGACCAACAGGTACCAAGGCAGGTAATTGCTTATCAGTACGTAGACCAGTAAACAGAAGTACTTTATGGCCTCTCTCTTCTTTGTCGCCTAGATTTGTTCCTGATAAGGAGTTTTCTGGTTCAGACCGTAGACAGAGAGGCAGAGAAGGACCAGTCCAATTTGAGGAAGATCCTTTTGGTTTGGACAAGTTTTTGGAAGAAGCCAAACAGCATGGTGGCTCTAAAAGACCCTCAGATAGCAGTCGCCCCAAAGAACATGAGCATGAAGGCAAGAAGAGGAGGAAGGAGTAGACTCTCCAGAGCAAATGAACTATTCACAACCCTAATGATGCAAGTCATTGGGAAACCCTTTGTAAATGATCAGGATAAAAACCAAATCTGAGTGCCAGATCTCAGTGCTACTTTTTATTCTGGGGATTAAATATTCTACTTTGAACTTTATTTTTTATTTATTTAGTATTTATTATTTTTGTTTTATGTGTATGAGTGTATTGCTTGCATGTAGATAGGTATACCCTTGTCATGCAATGCCCACAGAGGTCAGAAGAGGGTGACAGATCAAATAAAGACCACTTCCTTTTGCATTACACTTAGTCTGAGGATAATATTTTGTGTAAGAACTTATGAATAAAGTTGTCCCAACACACAAATAGAATAGTGTTCACACTGAAATGTGTCCTATTGTCTTGTTTTATTTTGGATTAGAGAAGGGAAAGTCTTGTTTAGTGTGACTCTTTGTTTCAAATAAAAAACATTTAGACAAATGCTCAGTTACATTTATTTAGTGGGTAGTACAGTAATCATCTCAGCAATCTTACTCTTCATCAGATGTTTGATCCCCTTCCAAAACCTTGGGTCTCTGAGCTAGAACCTGGAGCTGGGGGAAAAAGCACATTAAAAACATTAAAAGCGCCTTTAATCCCAGCACTCGGGAGGCAGAGGCAGGCGGATCTCTGAGTTCAAGGGATAGTTCCAGGACAGCTGGTGCTACAGGGAGACCCTGTCTCAAAAAGACCGAAAAAAATAAAAGCAGGAGTTACCTCTTTATAAGAATGACATTTTTTGAGGGTCTTTCCGTAGCCCCAGCTGGCCTGGAACTCATAGATCACCTGCCCCTGCCTCTCAAGTGTTGGTATTGAAGGCATTCGCCACCACGCCCAACAAGAATGACATTTTATTGAAAGAAGACTCAACACCAGTGACTCAAGTTAGTGTTTTCTTCTTAAGACACCCTGATCATAGCTAGGCTTGATTGTGCACACCTTTAATCACAGCACTTAGGAGGCAGAGGCAGAGGCAGGAGCATCTCTGAGTTCGAAGCCAGCCTGGTCTACATAGTTCCAGGTCAGCTGGGGCTACAGGGAGACCCTGTCTCAAAGATCCCTGAAACTAAAATTTCTAGGTCAGCTGGGAAAGCCAAGATTTCAGCAAACCCCATTTGCCTAGGCTGCCATTTCTATATTGTGTGTGACATACCTTGCTAACCATGAAAAGGGTCTTCCAGTACATGTACCAAAATAAAAACTTTGTATTTTCTTCATCAGACCTTATAGGATACCTACTATTCTTTAAAAAGCATCCAGTTTTCCAAAGTGTTTGTCATTTGAAACTTTGAGTTGATCCATAGAAAGCTCAGAAGATGGGAATATTTACCTTTACTCCATCAATAATATGATTTTCTTGCTGTAGTGCATTCTGAAGTTCTTCTTGTGAAGAAAATTGGACCCAACCTATACCTTTATGAAAGCCAGTCTCTCTGTCCTAAAAATTGAAAATATAGGAAAAGATTAACTATGAAGTTGAAATGTTTCCATGAGCTCTAAATCAAACTACCAACTTGTCAAAATCAGATCACAGACCAGTAATATTTACCACCTTCCCTTCTAGTTACCCAAGGCTAAATCCTAGTGTTCATAAGAACAAGCTTTGTATCTTTTTAGATGTAAATACACCATCTAGCCTGAAGGCCAAGAAGCAGTAAAAACACACTAATAGTCTAAGTCAATGGAAACTGATCCCTCGGGTACTCTGGCTTCTTTTTTCCTTGTTTCCAATGACCTACTTCCTAGGAAAAAAGCCTCAAAACCTAGTTGCATGTGGTCATTTCTGAGACCAGATGTCATCAACTACCACTGTCAGCACATGTTCCTAATGAAGAAAAGTGTAAGTTAAACATTACCCTAACATAGTTCTCAACTTCGGGTTAAATGGTTTTTCTACTTTAGTCCAGGAAAAGATAGACTGCTTATCATGAAAGAGATGGTGTGCCGGGAGGCACTCTGCCTCGCCCCACTCAGCCCTCTAATAAAAGATGTTTATTCAGTGAAGGTGTCCACTTGATCTTCCATCTTCCTTGCAAAATTATATTGTGCTAAAAAATAAATTCTTGGATACTGCTCCTATAAAGGTAACATGACCCAAAAATGCAGGCAAGGTTCTGCTGATAGCCAATGATCTACTCCCATACCTCTGATGTTTCCATGTGGCCATTTACATATGTCAGTGCATTAAAAATCTGTGTTAAAGGGCTGGAGAGATGGTTCAGCATTAAAAGCACTGGCTGATCTTGCAGAGGACACCCACATGGTGGCTACTAACTGTCCCTAACTCCAGTTCCTGGAGATCCAATGCCCTCTTCTGACGTCTGTGGGCATTGTACATATGGGTATACTTACATGCAGGCAAAACACATAAAAACTGAAAATAAATGTGTTAAAACAGGTGATAATTGGGTCTAGTGGCACAGACCTGTAATCCCAGCACTTGGGAAGTAAAGGCAAGAGGATCTGGAGGTTAAGGCCATCCTCTGCTACACAGCAAGTTTGAGGCCACGCCAGACTACACGCATCCTGTCTTGGCTAGATCTTCTTGCTGGCTGGGTCTCATGGTGCTAATTGGAGTAAGAGCACTGTCTGTCTAACCCAGCTGAGAACTCTACAAACTACCAAACTGCCAGGTAAGTTGTGGTCATAAGTGTAATGGTGGCACAGCCATTATGGGGACAACCAAATGCATCCTAATTGGATTTGGGGCTTGTTCTACAAGAGGGAATCCATGTCTAATACTGGTCCAATACCCATATTAGATCCTGAGAAGGAACCTAAGATGATGGCTGCTTTGCTGCACTGACATAGCATCAAAACAACTAAATATGTTTATACCCACAGCCAAATCTACTTACTCCAGTCTTAAACAGAAGCCTCTCCTTGCAGTGAACAAAGGTAAATGCCAAGACCCATGGCTACACAAGATGTTTGCCCTAGACAAAGCAATCACAGCACCCACTTCAGGCTCAAGGAACATTGTGGAAGAGGGTGAGAATGTAATCACCAAAGAGGGGCTGTGAAATAACATCTAAGCACAAGGCCATGACAACCATCAACAGATAGCAGTATATGCTAGGTCCACAAGAGTCAGGCCCTATAGCAGTCAGCTACAGAGCAGAAAAGGATTCACCAGGCCCTACCACATACTGTTGCCTGAGAACCAACAGATTCTGGGAGAGAAGGAAGATACAGTATCCAAGTGTATACCCACTACTGAGCCTGCCAGGCTCTGGTGGTTAGTTCCAAACTCAGGATCACACAGATGATCCTAACCATACTCTGTGGGATACTAAACAAAACCACAACTAATACATACATAGGGAAAAAGATTTGGGGAGTGGAGGGGGGGGACGCTGGTAGCGATGGGAGGGAAATAGAAGAGGCTGGTGGAGAAGGAAAATAATAAACGGTGTACATGTACGTGTAAAAGTTTACTAATTCAATTATTTCAAATGAATTTTTAAATTTTAAAACTTATGGGTATTTTGCCTGCATGTATGTGAGTAGGCCATGTATGTGCCTGGTGCCCATACAGAGGTCCTATAATTGGAGTTAAGGATGAGTGTAAGCTGCCATGTGGATGCTGGGAACTGTACCTGAATCCTATGCAAGAACAGTAAGTAAGTGTTCCCAACTTCTGAGCCATCTTTCCAGCCTCCCCAAATTTTTTGATAATGTCAGACTGAAGGAAGAAGCTTAAGATTGAGGTAACCTGGACTGTATCTTTTTCACACCAGCTTGAAGTACATAGACCACATCTCAAAAAAAAATTTGTCTTTAGGTCTTTTTGAGACAGGGTCTCTCTATAGCCCCCACTGCCCTGGCACTAGCTATGTAGACCAGACTGGCCTGAAAACTCACAGAGATTCACCTGCCTCCACCTCACAACTTGGGATTAAAAGTGTGTGCCACCATGCTTGGCTTGTTTTTTTTTGAGACAGGGTCTACCTTCTTACCCCTGGCTGGACTGGAATTTGTTATGTAGATCAGGTTAGGCTCAATCTCAGAGACCAGCCTGCCTCTGCCTCCAGAATGCGGGGTTGAAAGGTGTGTGCCATCATACCCAGCCTCAAAAAAACCTCTTCCCCTAAAGTTGATATTTTACTGCAGTTATTGCAGTGTAGTGAAGTAAAATTTTTGTGACATGTATGTATGAACAGTATGTATGTATGTACCAGTTACCTAGGATTTCTAGAAAGTCCTCAGAAAAATAGAGACTGACCTAGTCTTGACTACCATGAGAGCAAAAAAATCTTTTTTTTTTTTTTTTTTTGGTCCTTTTTGAGACAGGTTTCCCTGGGGCATCAGTTGGCCTGGAACTTGCTATGTAGACCATGTACTCCATGCTGGCCTTGAAGTCACAGAGATCCACCTGCCTCTGCCTCTGCCTCTGCCTCTGCCTCCCAAGTGCTGGGATTAAGAAAAAACCATTTTAAATTATTGTTTTATTAGTTTAACATGTTAAATTTACACTCAATGCGAATAAACTTAGTCTGTCAATTAGTTTTGTACACTATACTGAGGACTGAACCCAGGACTCAAACATGCTAGGCAAGGGTGTACAACACATCTCCAGGTCTTTTTATTTACAGATAGGGTCTAACTAAGTTGCCCAGACTGCCCTTGAACTCTCTATAACCCAGGGAGGGATTGATACTGAGATTCTTCAGTTTGAGCCTCAGAGTAGCTAGAATCACAGACTCAGGCTGCCAGGGCCAGCTTGCCAATTACTCTTAAAATGTCCTCTGCCATCTCAAGTCCTCAGTATAATAACTGTTGTGGGAAAATTCTCAGGTGAGTGCCATGATTTCCATGTGTGTCCCATGTTACATCCTATATAATCCCCTTCCTTTACAGTAAAGTCAGAATTTGTAACTTGCTTTAAACCAAAATATGGCAAAGGTGGTAAGATGCTGCTCCCTTGATTGGGTTACAGACAAAAGTAAATGGACTATTGCTGCTATGGCCTTATAACTAACTATAGCCAATTCCCCTGCAAGAAGCAAGTTGCTAAACTGGGGCATAGTGGCACATGCCTGTAATCACCTCACTCAAGGCTGAAGCAGGAGGATTTTAAGTTCAAGGACAGCAATTCTGAAGCCAGCTTAGGCTACATACATAGTGAGATCCTACCTCACAAAACTAAACCAGAAGCAAGCTGCCATGTTTCAAGACAGACTACAGAAAACACAGGTAACAGAACTGCAGGAAGTCCCCAGGAACTGAGAGCAGCCCCAGCAAAAAGCCAAAAGCAGAGCCAAGAAAGCAGCAACCTCAATCCTACAGATGAAAGGAGCTCAGCCTACCACCTCAGAGAGCCTGGAAGTCCAACTCCCCTTTGAACCTGATAAAGCAGATGCAGCCGCAGCCCACACACTGAACTCTTGAGCAGAGAACCCAGCTAAGCTGTGGCCAGCTGTGAGACCATGTGTTGTGTCTAGCCATTAAGCTTCAGTGTTGTTATGTAACAATAAGAAAAACTAACACAAATATCTACGATTAAGTCATTTTAATCAGTATCTTCCACAATTTTGTTAACAGACTTTAGAACAGTTTCACTCCGTGTGTGTGTGTGTGTGTGTGTGTGTGTGTGTGTGTATGATAATACTCACAAAAGGTACAGTACATTTTCGTATATGGCCAAATTGAGCAAAGTGTGCTCTCAGCTCACCTGTATGAAGAGAAAAAGCATATTAAAATGAGCTAATAATAAGAATGATCCCCAAGAGCCACATGTTGGAGGGAGAGAAGTGATTCTTGCAAAGTTGTCATCTGACCTCTACATTCCTGGCCCCAACAAAAAATAAATTATTCTTAAAGAATAAAATCTCTGGCAGCAGGGCGTGGTGGCACACGACGTTAGTCCCAGCACTCAGGAGGCAGAGGCAGCAGATCTCTGTGAGTTCAAGGCTAGCCTGGTCAGCTGGGGCTAGAGGGAGACCCTGTCTCAAAAAAGAACAAAAGAAAAATAAAATTTAAAAAAAAAAAAAAAAAAAAAAAAAATTAAAAAAAAAAAAAAAAAGAATAAAAATTCTGGGAGCTGAAGAGGTAGCTCAGCAGTTGAGGGGGCTTGGCTATCTTGCACAGGACCCAGGTTCCATTCCTAGAACCCACGTGGCAACTAACAACTGTCCATAACTCCAGTTCCAAGAAATCTGATGTTCTCTTCTGACCTACGAGGGCATTGCATGACACGAGTGCACTTAAGACACATGCAGGCAGTACACTCATACACATGAAATAAAAATTTAAAAAAGATTAAAAATTTAAGGGAAACACACACAGATACACACACCCTACAAGGCTAATATATGTAATATGTCCTGTCTTCTCTATCCTAGATTGTAGATTTAAAATGGGGAGTGGGTCTGGAGAGATGCCTCAGCAGTTAAAGTAACCTGGTACTCTTGCAGAAAACACGGGTTAAATTCCCAGCATACATTAAAGGCATTTTGCCACCACAGACAGCTCCTAAATTTTTTTAAAATGTATTATTTTTATTTTATGTGTATGATTGTATTACCTGCATGTATATGAGTGCACCCGTGTCATGCAATGCCACAGAGGTCAGAAGAGGGCTTCAGATTCCCCTGGAACTGGAGTTAAGGACAGTTGGTAGCCACCATGTGGGTGCTGGGAATTGAACCCAGGTCCTCTGCAAGAGTAGTCAGTGCTTTTAAGTGCTGAGCCATCTCTCCATCCCCAAGCTCCTAAATTCCTAAATGGAGAATAAAGTCTAGTTGCATTAAGCCTGAGTTTACTTTTATAAAATCATATTTCCTAGAACTCAACATAGTGATAGCATGCCTGTAATACTAGTGTGCTGGATAGCTTTAGTGTCACAGCAATGAAGAAAAAAACTAGGACAACTAGCTACCCAGAAAGCTGAGCGAAGGGAATAGAGGCTCTGAGGGGTAGATAAAGGTCTAGACAACATCATGACTGTGTGGATTTCCCGGATGATTTCATTAAGATGGCTACTGGATATCAAGGGATCCATGAGTATGCAAAGGTGACCTGTTATATAGCCAGTTCTGGCAAGAAGCCAGAGTTCCTGCAAAATGTTCTTGGGAGAAAATATTTTTCATTTGCCAAAAAAAGTTCCCAGCACCCACATGGTAGTAGACAACTTCCTATAAGTCCAGTTCCAGGGAATCCAATCCCCTCCTCTTTCCTCAGGTACCAGGCACTTGTACACATACATAAAATAAATACACACAAATCTTTTAAACAAGAATGAAAACCAAAAGGTTTCCAGAGTTCTCCAACTGCTTACTGAGAACTCCTGTGCAGTTCCTTAGCCTTAAGCTTCTGCAGGCAGCTGGAGCATTCTGCATCCTGTAAACTACCAGAGCTAGCAGCTCTAGAGCAGAGCAGCTAGAACACTGCAGCAGTCTCTGCACTCACTTAGCAAATGCTGTTCTCACCACACCAGGCACTGTGCTAGGTGTGTGACTAGAATTCCTGTGTGCAGATACATAGAATCCATTAAAATCCAATGTGTTAGCCAAGCCCAGTGGTGTTGCACATCTTTAATCCCAGCACTCAAGAGGTAGAGGCAGGCAAATATCTGTGAGATCACAGTCACCCAGGTCTACATACTAAGTTCCAGGCTATAAGGAGCTATAGGGAGACCCTGTCTCAAAAAAACAAAACAAAACACATAACCTCTGCCAAATGCTAGCTAGAGACCTCACAACCCTCTCAATCTTACTCCTTACCTTCTCTCAGCATCCTTCTCCTAAAGTCTAAAAGGGAAAACCATCAAAACCTTCTCCCTCAATTATTAAGAAATGCTGTCGATTTTGTTTTTAAAAGTTGAGTCTAACTCGTCTTTTTTACAGTTCCCTAGTCCAAGTTTTCACCTTTGGACTAAATGAAATGTCCTTTTCTCTCTTCTCCATCCCTACATCCTTGCCACCTGGAAGTCGAGAGTCACTAAAGTCAAAATAGCCCCTTCTGAACAGTAAGCATCCAGGTTAGCAAATAAAACTTTCCATTAATCACTCGATACAGTGGGCATCCTAAAGGCGCAGTGGACCTCCCTAAACAGTTAACCGGAAACACTTTCTCGCACTGACTTCCTCAAGAGCAATTATCAGCCACCAGCTCCGCACGCTGACGGAAGTGCCCTGCAGAACAGAGGCTTTGAGCATCTAGGACATAAACGTTCCGCCCTTCCCCATCTCTCACACTCACTCGACGCCGCGGTCCAAGGAATTCTACGGATAAAAGCAACCGGCGGAGCCAGCGTCAATCCGCGTCTCACTGCCGAGGCGGCCATGTCGAGAAGAAAAGCGTCAGCGAGCTCAGGTCGCGACACCGGAAGAACCTGCTGAGTCACAAGCTGGGACATCTACTTCCGGGTCAAGGGCTTCGCGGTTTCGACATGGGGAAGATGGCGGCTGCCGTCGGGTCCGTGGCCATGCTGGCGACCGAACCCGGGGAAGACGCCTTCCGGAAACTCTTCCGCTTCTACCGGCAGAGCCTGCCCGGGAGCGCAGACCTGGGAGCGGTCATCGACTTCTCGGCGGCGCACGCGGCCCGAGGCCCGGAGTCCCCAAGGTAGGGAGGGAGGAGCCGTGCGCCCGCGCCCTGGAGGGCCTCGCCGACGTGCCAGCCGCCGGGCGGTTGTGCTGGGATCCCGGCCGCCCTGCGCGCAGCGGGCTGCCCACCGCCCCCAGAGCGCTGTCCTGCAGCTTTCTCCGCCGGTCCCCCGCGGCCTCGCTCATAACCCCCGGGGATTGCTGGTGTTTCCTATAACTGTCCAGTGAACGCACATGCGTTATTTTGCCTCAAACCCCGAATATTTTCCTGGAAGTCAGGGTAGGTCCGCCGCCTCAATAAACCCGACCATCGGATGAGTCTGGTAGACGAGACCCTGCCTTTCCTGAGGCTTTGAAGGATTTTGAAATAATCCCCCGAATGAAAGTGGGTATCAAATGAGTATGTCTAAAATCTGAACAGGCCCCCTTATTTGTGCTTCTCCTGTGTGAAAAGAACATAATTAGAAGTGGGCGGGGGGGGGACGTTGACAGAACTGTAGAACTGTAGTCTGGATATATTTTCCTTAGCCACTTTGTAAATTTGCCTTGTTTTGTTGAGACAGGGTCTCATTCTATAGTCCAGACTACACTCAGACTCATAGCAACCCTCCTTACTCAGCCTCCCAAGTACTGTGGTTACCGGCATGAGCTACCATGCCAGGCATCCTTTGTTGTCACAGGGAAAAGATGTGATACTTCATTTGGCCTTAGTTTTGTGCAGGAATTTCCACATGGGACATTCTTGACAAGCACAGAGTTCAAGAAAAATGGAATGCTGTAGTAACTTCTTACTTGTGGAGAACATTTGTTAGCAGAAATGGTCTTAGAGTTGTGAGAATTGCATACCAAAAGTGGGCACCCTAAGATTAACATTTAACTGAGAAACGTTCTTCAGACATTCATTCAGCTCCATTTATCTATATTTTACCATAATGCAAATGTACTTTTAGAATTTTAAGCCTCCGCCACACACGCACACAGTGCAGGACATTGTGTATCTAGCTAGCACAGTGCTTAAAAAGCACTCAAATATAGTATGTGATGAGTAAATGAAAGCTTGGGTTTTCGGTTCCCCTGCCTAAAGCAGATTAAAAGTGTTTAGAGAAGCTGCTGCTATCACAGGACCTCAGATGAGAACAGGAAGACATGGGACATCAAGTGACAGCTATCAGAATGGCAAGAGAAAGCAAAAACACTTCTTTTAAAAGCTGGGCTTGGGCACGCCTGTAGTCCCAGCACTTGGGAGAAAGAGGCAGGCAGATCTCTGTGAGTTCAAGGCCAACTCAGGCTACAGGGAGACCTTGTCTGAAAAAGACCCCAAAAAAAAAAAAAAAGCTGGGCTTAGTGACCCCTCCCTTTAATCCCAGAACTCCAGAGGCAGAGGCAGGCAGATTGCTGTGAGATCAAGGCCAGCCCGGTCTACATAGATAGTTCCAGACTATCTGTGACTACGGGGTGACCTGTCTCAAAAAGACAGAAGGCAAGCTCAGTGGTTTGGTTCCTCAAAGTTCCTAAACCTACTTTAGCTCTGAGAATGCTGCTGAACTATAATGCGGTATTAAGTAAGGCCTATTTCTCAGTGGTTAAGAATGTTCTGCTGCTACAGAGGACCTGAGTTTACTCCCAGCACCTACACCAGGTGGTTCACAACTGTTTGTTACTCTAGCTCCAGGGTCTGTGTCACCTCTGCCCTCTGAAGGCACCTATATTCATGTGCAAATGTCCGCACACATAAACATAATTTAAAAATATATATTCAGGCCTGGCTTGGTGGTACATGCCTTTAATCCCAGCACGTGGGAGGCATAGGCAGGCAGATCTTTGTGAGTTCCAGGCCAGCCTGGTCTACATAGTGAGTTCCAGGACAGCTGGGGCTACAGGGAGACCCGTCTCAAAAAGACAAAAAATAATAATAATAATATATATTCAAAAAAATAAGTTTGGCCTGGGACTGAAGAGGTGACTCAGCAGTTTAGTTTAGGACCCAAGTTTAGTTTCCAGCACTCAAGGCAGGCAGACAGGCAGTTCACAGCTGCCTCTAACTCTAGCTCCACAGGGATGGGATGCCTCTAAGCCTCCTCTGGTTCCTGTACTCATGTGCATACATACTCATAAAAATAGATAATAAGCCGGGCGTGGTGGCACATACCTTTAGTCCCCTCTGGAGGCAGAGGCAGGCCAGCTACAGGGAGACTGTCTCAAAAAGACAAAAAATAAATAAAAAATAAAAATGGCACCTTTAATACCAGCACTCGGGAGGCAGAGGCAGGTGGATCTCTGTGAGTTCAAGGCCAGTCTAGTCTACATAGTGAGTTCCAGGACAGCTGTGGCTACAGGGAGACCCTATCTCAAAAAGACAAAAAACTAAATAAAATAAAAATGGAGGGCTGGAGAGATAGCTCAGCGGTTAAGAACACTGTTCTTGCAGAAGACCCGGGTTTGAATCCCAGCACCCACATGGCAGCTAAAAACTGTCTGTAACTCCAGTTCCAGGGGATTCAACAGCCTTTTCTGTCCTCCACCGGCATTGCATGACATGGATGGACTTACCTACATGCAGACATAACACTCATACACATAAAATAAAACTAATAAATAAAATATTAAAAAAAATAAAAATGGTATGGTCTATTTAAGAAAACATGAAAAAAAATGCTTTGAAAACTAGGACAACCAAAATTCTCAGAAGGTTCCAGAGAGCGATTTATTATAAAAACTGATAGACTGGGAAATGTAGCTCTAGGGTGGAGTGCTTGCCTAACAAGTTCAAGGCATTGGACTTATTTTTCAGCAACACAAAGAAAGAATTTTTTTAAAGACTTTGGAAATTCCTCTGCAGGGGCCGGAGAGATGGCTCAGAGGTTGAGAGCACTGACTGCTCTTGCAGAGGACCTGGGTTTAATTCCCAGCACCCACGTGGTGACTACGAACCATCCTTAATTCCAGTTCCAGGGGAATCCAAAGCCCTCTTCTGACCTCCATGGCATTGCATGACACAGGTGCACTCACATACATGCAGGCAATACACTCATACACATAAAATAATAGGCCGGGCGTGGTAATACACGGGGAAGCAGAGGCAGGCGGATCTGCGGATCTCTGTGAGTTCAAGGTCAGCCTGGTCTACATAGTGAGTTCCAGGACAGCTGGGCTACAGGGAGACCCTGTCTCAAAAAGACAAAAAAAGTAAAACTAATAAAATATTTTTAAAAATTCCTCTGCAGCCTCAACACTTCCAACCTCCTCCACCCCCACTCTTTCCCCTGCTAGCCTTGGACCCAGGCCCATTCTAATTCCTCTACATCTGATCACTAGCTTCCTAACCCATGCTAACTAAACCCCCTAGCATAGATTGCTAAGACCCTCACCCCCATTTTCCACTGACTCCTTATCTGCCTGACAGACAGTGTTACTAAGGTGGACCTGGAGAGATGACTCAGCATTTAAGAGCCCTGGCTGCCCTTGCAAAGGACCTGTGTTTGGTTCCTAGCACCCAGATGGCAGCTAACAACCATCTATAACTCCAGTTCCAGGGTAATCAGGAAATTTCTGGCATTTTATACATATAAAATAAAAAATAATTTTTTTAAATTACTAAGGCATGTTCTTGCCAGGCATGGTTTAATCCCAGCACTTGGGAGGCAGAGGCAGGTGGATCTTTGTGAGTTCGAGGCCAGCCTGGTCCGCCTGGTGAGTTCCAGAACAGCTGGGGCTATGAGGAGACCCTATCTCAAAAAGACAAAAATAAATAAATAAATTACTAAGGTATGTTCTAATGGGAAAAGGTAGTCTTGAAAGTCAAATCCAGCCTGGTTTAATTTTTTAAATTACTATTTATCTTAATTTTTTACAATTGTGCAGTATTTCTTAGGCTACAGATGAGGAAACTGAGGCCCCAGGAAGTTAAGTGACTCCACTTAACTTCCTGGGGCAGTTTCCTCATCTGTAAGTGCCACATCAAGAATGTGGAGCTAATATTACAATCCCATACCAGAAGTATCTTTGGAAGTCTGAGATTCCCAGGGTTGACTTGTAAGACATCTTAACCCTCTGACTTCAGTTTCTCTCCTTCCAGGTGATCAGATCTCAGCTCAGTGTGTCCTCAGTCAGTGAGCATGATGCCCATAGAGCAGGACTTCAGCCTGTGAGCAAGTGGCGAGCCTATGGACTTGAAGGCTACCCTGGTAAGTGTGCCTGACCTCAGAGAAAGGATCACTCGGTCATCTCTAACTTCCCGGGAGGAGCTGTGAATAGAAAATAAAGATTCTTAAACACACATTAATATCCCACCCTCAAAACGCATCCTAGTTGTGCCTTCCCTAAGGTATCTTTTTATTTAAAACTACCAGAGGATAAAACAAGTCAGCAGTATAACAGAAAGGGTTATAACAGATGAAAAACTAAAGACCAGCTCCAAGCTTTTTTTACTCTGAACCTCAGTTTATTGAAACTGCTTTTTGTAATAGAATAATTAGGTCATAATTGTCATTCCAGTCACATTCTCAGGCAGTACAACAGCTTACAACATGTTGTTTCTGGGGTGGAGAGATGGCAGAGTGGTTAAGAACACTGGCTGCTCTTGTAGAGGACCCAGGTTCAGTTCCCAGTGCCCACATGGCCATCTTTCCAACTCCCTATCTCCACTTTTCTTAAATTTTAAAAGTTTGATTTATTTATTTATTTATTTATTTATTTATTTATTTATTTTTTGGTCTTTTTTGAGACAGGGTCTCCCTGTAGCTCCACCTGTCCTGGAACTCACTATGTAGACCAGGCTGGCCTTGAACTCACAGAGATCCGCCTGCCTCTGACTCCCGAGTGCTGGGATTAAAGGCGTGCATCACACTGACTATTGCTCAGTCTTTGCAGTGGTTTTGTTTTTATTTTATTTTTGCTGCATTAGTACAGTCTGCCTAGATAAATGACATCCACCAACGGCTTTCAGTTATTTCTTAGTGGATTTTTAAAGAATCATTCTGTGCTTACAAAAACTAACTTTGGTGCTGGGCCTCATGGCACATGCCTTTAATTCCAGCACTAGGGAGGTCTAGAGGCAGAGGCAGACAGAGCTGAGTTGCAGACCAACCAGGGCTCCATCGTGAGACCCTGTCTCAAAAAAAAACCCAACTCACTGGGTGTGGTGGCGCATGCCTTTAATCCCAGCACTCAAGAGGCAGAGGCAGGTGGATCTCTGTGCATTCAAGGCCAGCCTGGTCTATATAGTGAGTTCAGGCCAGCTAAAGCTACAGGGAGACCCTGCCTCAAAAAAAAAAAACCAACTAACTTTGGCCGTTAACCTTAGTTTGGAGTGTATGATATAGATGATATTAAATAGAGAAACAGGATTATTGCCTACAATTACCAGCCTTGTTTCAATGCACAACGCTAAGCGGTCTGGATTTTTTTTCCTCCATATCTTGAAGACTCTAGACATAGAATTTTAAGTACTTTGAGTAAGATTCAGTACATGGAGAAATTTTCAGGTCCTCTTTATATTTTTGCTATGTCAGCACAGGTTCCTTTCTGCTGACCCACATGTGGTTTAAGATCTATAATTCTGATGTGGACCACAGATGATAATGTTCAAAGACATTGATTTTGGTCAAGACCTAATATTTATAAGGGAAAGATTTTGGTTTTGTTTTCTGTGGCCATAAACTTAGCCTTATTGTCATCTCCCACATTTGTGCTATTGACCCCAAGGGAGAGGTGAATCAGTGAAGCCATCTTACCTTTCAGAACATGGCTTGTTCTGTTGTTTTCTGCAAAAATGGATAGTAACTTCCTCAGGAAGTTGCTTAAGATGGATGAGATGGTAGAATTTTGCTAGCACTGTGCCTGACACTTGGAGGCATCCAAGTAATTAATGCTGCGTAATTAATGACTTAAGACTGGATTTATGGGGCTGGAGAGATAGCTCAGTGGTTAAGAACATTGTTCTTGCAGAAGACCTGGGTTCGAATCCCAGCACCCACATGGCAGCTAACAACTGTCTGTAATTCCAGTTCCAGGGGATCCAACAGTCTCTTCTGTCCTCCGAGGGCATTGCATGACAGGGTGCACTTACCTACATGCAGGCAATACACACATACACATAAAATAAAAATAATAAATAAAATATTTTTTTAAAAAAGACTGGATTTATTATTGTTAATTGCTATTCTTAAAACCCGTCATTATTCATGTTTATATTAAATGCTGAAAGTAAGAGAGGAAGAGTAGTTTGTTAATAGCCAAATCATTTTGTGTTTACTGTCTCCTTTTCTAAGTAATTCTCCCTGAGAACATTTCTCTACTATGTGGTATCTTTGTTAATGGTCTGGAGTTGGTAAGCTGTAGGCTGGGTCAGCCCCTACCCCTACAGGCACACCTGCTTTAGTAAATAGCTTTATTTTGTTTTATTTTATTTTCCATAGTCAGAACTACTTGCTTTGCTTCTTACTGTCTGTGCTCTTTCCTGCTTTGGTGACAGTTTAGTACTGTAGATTCCAAATGACCTTCAAAGCCTAAAATACTTGTCTAGTCTTTTCCAAAAAGAAGTTTGCTGCTCTCTGATCTAGACTGGATGTGGAGTCTAACCAGGCATTAAAGATGTGGTGCTTTGAATAAAAATGTCCCCCATAAGCTCCAGTTATTTGGACATTTTGTCCTCAGTTGGTGGCATTGTTGAGGAGGGGAGGGTTAGAACGTGCAGCCTAGCTGGAGGAAGTTCATCATCACTGGGAACTTTGAGAGTTCTTAAGCCTTACCGAATTCCCAGTTACTCTCTGCTTCCTGTGCCTGATTGAAGTCCTTGAAATGTATAGTTAAGTTAAATCCAGCACAAGAGATAGCCTTCTATGCCTGCAGTAAGTGAAATAAAACTTTGAGAAGTCTTGGGTAACTATAAGTGTTACCTGCTGAAAATCTGAAGGTGATGTTTCATTCTAAAGTTTGCTTTGGGATGACACAGCTGACAGCTCATTTGAAAATGACCCAAAAAGTGAGAGGTAAAAGTGTCTCAGGGTGTCTCATGTTAATCATAATTTAATTTTTTTTTGATTAGAAGAAACATATCATTACAGCTTTAACATGCCCAATAACAGTCCAGAGCAAAGACACAGCTCCTTCAAAAGTGGCTGTAAAATTTCTAGGTTCGCTGTTGAATCAACACAGTTATACAATATTGAACTCAGTATAAGCCCTTAATTTTTTACTAACTTAAAGCAGGGGTATGGAAAGTGAGTGACAGATAGTATAAGAATACAAATGAAAGGCTGGAGAGATGGCCTAGTGGTTAAGAGCAGAAGACCTGGGTTTAAATCCCAGCACTCACATGGCAGCTAACAACTGTCTGTAACTCCAATTCCAAGGGATCCTATGGCCTCTTCTGTCCTCGAGGGTGTTGCACGACATGAGTGCACTCACCTACATGCAGGCAATACACACATACACATAAAATAAAAATAATAAAATATTTTTTTAAAAAAGAATATGAACAAAAAGAAATGATCAGAATAACTGAGAATCTCCTCTTTTTACCCCCCTCCTTTGAATAGGGTTTATTTTTATCCCAAACCCATTCCTCCCAGGATACCAGTGGCACTGGGTGAAACAGTGCCTTAAGCTCTACTCCCAGAAACCCAATGTATGTAACCTGGACAAGCACATGACTAAAGAAGAGACCCAAGATTTGTGGGAACAGAGCAAAGAGTTCTTGAGGTGAGTCTATCAGTCAGTAGGATCTTCTCAGATCTTTGAACTGTTCTGTAACAATGCTCTGAAAGTGGATTTCCTTTCTTTATTTCTACAAATGCAGCACAGTTCTGTTGTTTTCCCAAGAACGTTTGGACAGATGCTTTGATAGTTATATTAGATTGAGATCCTTTTTTTTTTTTTGTAAATCTTTTTGAGACAGGGTCTCTCTGTAGCCCCAGCTGTCCTAGAACTCACTATGTAGACCAGGCTGGCATTGAATTCACAGAAATCCGCCTGCCTCTGCCTCCTGAATGCTGGGATTAAAGGTATGTGCCACCACACCCAGCCATAGATTGAAATCCATTTTAAAGACTTACTTATCATATTTAGATAATAACTTCATCCTCATTCATCATTACATGATCCACTTTTATTTAGCTTCACTCTCTTTTTGTACTTAAAGTGAGAGCCTTCAAAGATTTGTAGTATCCTAGGAAAAAATGTCCCTGGTAGCTCTTCTGTTCTCTTGCATGGAGTTACCATAGAGCAGTTGTTGCTCGTGGAAAGATTGGTATTTGTTCCTTGGTGGTGGTTCGGCATTCATTCCACAAATACTCATTGGGTGATCAGTTGGGTACCAGGCATGATGCTAGGCACTAGAGATGCAACACTTAGTATCATTCTCTCTTTACACTTAAAACACATACAACACTTAATAGAACAATCTCTGTACACTCAAAAGTGAACGGTCTGTCCACAGGAATTATCTTCAGGCATAATTATAGTACAGCTGATAAACTGTTAGTGGTTAGAAAAACACTGAGGGGCCTGGTGTGCTGGCATACACCTTTAGCCCGACCACTCAGGAGGCAGATGCAGGTGGATCTCTGTGAGTTTGAGGCCAGCCTGTTCTAAATGGCAAGTTCCAGGACAGCTGAGGCTACAGGGAGACCCTATCTCAAAAAGACTGGGGAAAGAAAGAAAACACTGAAGGAACACAGGGAGAAAGACTAATTCTTTTAAACAGGATAAAGGTGTCAAAGAAAAAGGCAGGACTTTTTTACTGCATCTATTCATCTTTTTTCTTACTGTCCATTTGAACTATCAGCAATGATTAGAAGTTTGTCAGATGGAAAAGTAAAAGGGCTGACTAGGTATAAAACAGCAGAAGCAGATAAACCATGTTTCGGCATATCCGTAGACCTTACCTGACTCCATGCTCATGGCCAGGCAAGGGGGACAGTGTATGCAAGAGTAATTGGAGTTCTTGCAAGTTCTAACCAGCTTAATCAATAACTGGGTAAATTGCAGTACTCCAACATTCGTTCTCCTGCTTCATCTCATCTTGTGATTTTTATGCTAGGCAGTAAGTGGAATTTAATCTCTGTTCTTTTATTTCCTTTCTAAAAAAAAAAAAACCAGATCCTATCCTATCATTGATTTTTGTGGTTTCATGGATAGAAACATTCACATACGTAATTTGGCAGGTACAGGTTTAGAGTGTATATGTTACCATGAGAATGGTCACGTACATGGTTGGAATAGTGTGTAGAGAATGCTTTCTGGAGGTTGTCGTGTGTAGGGTTGGGAAAACATGAAGTGGGCACAGTGAGTGGGACCAAATTGTCCAGGGTTCATAATAGAGCACTAGCTCTAGAGTCATATAGCCTGTATTCACATCCTGGTTCAGCTCCTTACTAGCTGTGAAAGCCTGAGCAAGTTTCTTAGCTTTTCTTTATTGATTAGTATGCATATATTTGAGAAACCTTGGAAGAGTGCTTGTTGAAACTATTATACCAACGTGGGTATCCCATCTGCCCTCAGTAGCTTTAATGGTGCCATCAGCTGTCATTGGGAAAGAAGCTGTAAAATATAGTTTTCCTTTAAAGCATTCTTGGTCATAAGTTGGGTGTGTAGGAGCAGTGAGGGAAGCCTTTCCTGTCCTTCAGCTTTTAGTGCTACCTTAGAACTATGAGCAAAGTAAGATCAGGACTGAATGAAATTAGCTTATTATAAACCAGCCTTTATTTTCAAGTAATTTATTCTTTCTCTTCTGATATATGACTATAGAAATCCCAGCTGCCTTCTGAGCTAGCTCAGATGGACCTGTGTAATAAATCATCCAGTAGACAATGATGAGATGCTTTTTTTTTTTTGTCTAATAAATTAGAAAAAATAACGTGATGGTCATAGCTTATGCTGTCAAGGGCTAGAAGAAATTGATAGGCTGAGACCTTTACTGGCAGCATTGAAAATCAAGGGTCTCTAGTTTCCATCCTGTGACTGTGTGATGTGTGTTTCCATTTTCTCTAGTGGGAAATGCAGGTGTTAGATGGGATAAGCAATTCCAGATGTTTGAGTCATGAATCTACACAGAGTAGCACAGTCCCCAACAAGGCTTCCTTGCTTAGCTATAGGTTTGGGGGCTTTTTAGACTACTCATAATTAGAACCAATAGTTATAAGTTCAGGGGTGTTTCCTGGCCCCTTCAAGTTAGTAATTCACTAGAACAACTCCTAGAACCTGGGAAAGGCTTGTTGCCCTTGTAGCACATTGATTCACCAGCCAGCTTTGGCATCCATAATTTTATTGACATTTTGTTATGTAGTCACTATTGATTAAATCATTAGCCACATGGGATGGGGGGGGTGATTCAATCAGTAAAGTGTTTGACTGGTAAGCACAAGGCCTGAGTCTGATTCCCTAGAACCCATTTTAAAAAACAGACCAGGTGTGACCTTACACACTTGTGTTTTTAGGGTTTTTTTAATTTTTATTCTATGTGTATGAGTATATTGCCTGCATGTGTAAGTGCACCCATGTTGTGCCAATGCCTGCAGAGGTCAGAAGAAGGCATTGGATCCCCTGGAACTGGAGTTATAGACAGTGGTTAGCTGCCATATGTGTGCTGAGAACTGAACCCAAGTCCTCTGCAAGAGCAGTCAGTGCTCTTAACCACTGAGCCATCTCTCCAGCCTTGCCTTATACACTTGTAATGCCAGCATTGGGGAAACAGAGACAGGCAGATCCCTGGGGCTCGCTGGCCAGCTGGTCTAGCCTACTTGGTGAATTTCAGGCTAGCGAGAGACCCTCTCTCAAAAAGGGAAGGTAATGAATGGGAACATAGCTTAATTGTTACTGTGGTAACATAGCTTAAAGTGCTTACTGCATAAGCATGAGGATCTGAGTTCAATTTCTGGCCCCCATTTAAAAAAAATTCAAGCACAATAGTGCTCACTTAAAATCCCAATGCTAGGGAAATGGAGACAGATGGATCCCTGGGGCTCACTTGCAAGCCAAATCAGCAAGTCCCAGGTTCTAGTGAGACACCCTGTCCTCACAAAAACAAGGTAGACCGCTCCTTGGGAATGACACTCAGGTTAACCTCTGACCTACACACACAGGCACCTGCAAATGGATACACACGCCACATCCTGAATCATCTTCTTAGCATAAACCCAGGTATGGTGCAAGGGCCTACCATGATGAACAGTGAGGCAGCTGTCACTCAGGGAATCCTGAGGGTTTAGAGGGACTGTGGCTCAATGATAGAGCACTTACCTGACATGCACGAGGCCCTGAGTTTGATCCGCAGGACCAAGAGCGTTACCTCCAGAACCAGAGAAAAGGGCCAGATTCTTTGTCATGTAACACCATCACATTTTCATAAATCTAAAATTGGTGCTGTCGCCTGGAAGACCTAAGAGTTCTGGCTCCATGACCTCTAACCTCATTTCCTAACATTCCTTTGCACTATTTATTCTTGTCTAGCCACACTAGACATGTCTGGCCTTCACTGCTGTTCCATAAACTTATCAGCTGCTTAGATTCTTTGTACATCACTGTTCTGGCTACCTAGGAAGCTCTGTCCTTACGTTCCTCTGGCTTCCTTCCATTAGGCCTTCTAATGTATACTAGAAGTCATACCTTTTTCAATCCAGAATAGTCGCCTTATTCTGGATTCTTTTTTTACAACTTTTTACAGATGTGAGACTTTAATATAATTTAATATTTTGAAACAAGGTTCTATAGTATGGCCCAGGCTGTCTTGAAACTCCTTGATCCTCCTGGCTCAGCTTCCCAAGTTCTGGAATTTCAGGCATGAGTCACTATAACCAGTTCTATAATAAATACCTTTTTTTTTTTAATTGTTGGTTTTTTGAAATTATTGTTTTTAAATTGTTGTGTACAATCTCACTCATTAGCCTTGGCTGGCCTCCCAAGTTCTGAAGTTTACAGGCATGGACTGCCACTCCCAGCTCTTTTTTCTTTCTTTTTTAAGGCTGAAGGTTTCACTATGTACCCCTATCTGTCCTCAACCTTATGATCCTCCTGTTTCAGCCTCTTTAGTGATGGTCTCAAAAATTCTTTAATAGGACAAGGGTGCCGGCATGGTGGTACACGCCTTTAATACCAGCACTCAGGAGGCAGAGGCAGGCGGATCTCTCTGAGTTTGAGGCCACCCTGGTCTCCATAGGGAATCCAGGCCAGCTGGGGCTACTGGGAGACCCTGTCTCAAAAAAATGAAAAAAAAAAGAATAGGACAAGGGCTTTTCCCCTGCCACCAGGGAGTCTTGGGGAGGTGGACATTCGGTGCATTCAAGATTGTCTCCACGGGGCTGGAGAGATGGCTCCGTGGTTAAGAGCACTGACTGCTCTTGCAGAGGACCCGAGTTCAATTCCCAGCACCCACATGGCAGCTATGAACTGTCCTTAACTCCAGTTCCAGGGGACTCCAAAGCCCTCTTCTGACCTCCATGGCATTGCATGACATGGGTGCACTCACATGCATGCAGGCAGTACACTCATACTCATAAAATAAAAATAATAAATTGAAAAAAAAAAAGATTGTCTCCAGCAGTAATCCACCCCATGGCCGAGGAAGGCATTGCTGCTGGAGGTAGAGTGGACATTACCACTGCTTTACAAGAGGTGCTGATACTGCCCTCATCCCCAGTCGCCTAGCATGTGGATTCCTCGAAGCTGCCAAAGCCTTACAAGCACCAAGCCCGTCTCTGTGCTTTCCTCCAACTATAATGAGCTGATGTATGGCAAGTTGGTGCAAGCCCTTTGTGCTGCACACCAAAGCAACCTGATTAAGGTTAATAACAAGAAGCTAGGGGGATGTGTAGGCCTCTGCTGAATTGATCGAGAGGGGAAGGGTGGTTGGCTGCAGTTGTATAGTGGTTAAGGACTATGGCAGAGTCTCAGGCCAAGGATGTCATCGAAGAATACTTCAAATGCAAGAAATGAACAAATAAAAATTTTGGCTCATTAAAAAGAAAAAACAAAAGAATAGGACAAGGGACTGAGTCTGTAATAGTGCTAGAGCTCTTATCAGCATGTACAAGGCTCTTTGTTTGATCCACCACACTACCAAAAAAAAGTTTGTGGCTAGAGAGGTGGCTCAGCAGTTAAGAGCACTTGCTGTCTTGCAGAGGACCTGAATTTGGTTCCCAGCACCCACTAGGCAGTTCATAGCCACGTATAACTCCAGCTCCAAGGAATCCAGAACCTTTTTCTGGCCTTGTCAGGTGTGTGCACACTTTTTTTTTTTTAGGTATAAGGGGAAGTTTAAATTTTTAGCTTTTCTGTGTTAGCTTCTGAAGTACTTTATTACATTTTGTATGTGAAGGCCTTTTTACCACTAATACCCTCCATGCAGAGACAGAATCACTCCCTTTTTGCTCCTTTAAAACTTTGGTTGAAAGCTGGACATAGTGGTGAACGCCTGTAATCCCAGTACTTGGGATGCAGAAGTGGGTGAATCTGTGAATTCAAGGCCACCCTGGTCTATATAGCAAGTTCCAGACCAGCTGGGGCTACAGGAAAACTGTCTCAAAAAAAAAAACTTTGGTTGAGTTTTGTTTTTATTTTACGGCACTGGTAATTGAATTGACAGCATCAGTCATGCTGGATAAACATCTGCTGTTGAGCTACATCATCACCGCCACCTCCCAAGACTTTGCTTTTTGGTTTTTGTTTGTTCAGTTGGTTTGGGGTTTTTTACATTTATTTGTGTGCTCAAGCATAAGTATGTGTGTGAGCTTCCATGCTGTGGAGGCATGTGGTGGTCAGAGGACAACTTCTTGGAGGTTGGTTCATCAGGCTTAGCAAAAAGTGCCTTGCCCACTGAGCCATCTCATCTGCCTAAGACTTTGCTTTTAATGCCAAGACAGTGTTTATTTTGATGATGGAGACACCTCCCTTTCCTCCTACTCTTCACCTCCTTACCTCTCCTGGAACTCTTAAGAATTTTGTAGCCTCTGCTGGGCATGGTGGTGCACACCTTTAATCCCAGCACTTGAGAGGCAGAGACAGGCATATTTATATGAGTTCAAGGCCAGCCTGGTCTACATAGGGCGTTCCAGGTCATCTGGGGCCACAGGGAGACCTTGTCTCAAAAAGACCAAAAAAAAAAAAGAATTTTGTAGCGTCGATGCCTGACACCATTTATATATATTGAAGGTGCTTGGTAAATATTATTTCAATAAAGTTGATACTCCTTTTTATTGACCCAATGAAGATGCAATGCTAACTAACTCTGAGAAAGATTTTTAAGGGCTGTATAGTAACTTTCTGTGTTTTGATAAATAAAATACACATTTGTGTTTTTAAAAATGTTTGGTGCTAGAATTACTGTGATGAATAAAATTCAGTCCCTACCTTTGAAGGACTTACAAGAGTTTTTAACACCAAAGAATACACTTGAATAGCAGAGGTTGTAAGGTATTCTGGGCCATAGTGTAGGACAAGTTGAAAAAAAGACTTCCCAGAAGTGGATTTAAACTATACCTAAAACAGGAAAGTCTGTAAGTCTAAGAGTGCAGCAGGAGAATAGAGAACATTCCAGTAGGGCTCCAAAAGATGAAGGAAGGGAGGCCTATGGGAAATGGTCACAGGTGAGACTGTGAAGGTTAGTTAGCCAGAATATAGGTGGGTTTTGCATATGAACTTTGCCCTATGAATAGCTGGAATTTTTCAGGGTTAGTAACAGGGCTTGGTGTGGCTAAGTAGAGTACTAACATGAATGAAGCCCTGGGATTGATCTCTAGCCCTGTGTAAACTAGGTGTGGTGGCATGGGACTTTAATCCCAGGAGGTTGGATTTGGAGGCAGGAGGATCAGAAGTTCAGGGTCGTCTTTGGCTGCATTACAGGTTCAAGGCCAGCCTAAATTATATGAGACACTTTCTCAAATAACTTTTAGAAAGAAAGATTAACTCTTGCATAGTGAGGGAGATGGTCTAAAAACATAAATTGCAAAACAAAATTAAGAATGCAGTTTCTTTTTTATATTTAATATTTTATTTCTAATTCTGTATATGTGGGAGGATATGCACAGATATGAGTGCAGGTTCTGTCAGAGTACAGAAGAGGGTATCATATCCCCTAGTTCGGGAGTTACAGCAGTTGTGAGGTGCCCAATGTGAGTGCTGGCAATAGAATTCAGATTCTTTGTAAGAGCTGAAAGTGCTCTGAACTCCAGAGCTACTCCAGCTCAAGAATGCAATTTTTAATTGCTTGGCTCACATATCTTAGAATCTATTCAGTTTTCCTTGTTATTAGTTCTGTGAATATTAAAAGAACACATAGAAAGAAAAAATGTTTTGTGTTCCCAGGGTCCAGCATGTTTTCAAGGCATAGTTAGGTTTTCATGAAATCTATAGTAATATGTTACTTAGGTCTTCTCTGTTTTTACTTTTGTTCTTTATATTAAATGGTTGTCATGGATTAAGAAACAAATCTTAATTTGTTTTTATTTCCTCTTTTTAAAAAAAAAAAATTCAGCGGGGCGTGGTGGCACACACGCCTGTAGTCCCAGCACTTGGGAGGCAGAGGCAGGCAGATCTCTGTGAGTTCAAGGCCAGCCTGGTCTACATAGTGAGTTCCAGGACAGCTGGGGCTACAGGTAGACCCCGTCTCAAAAAGACCAAAAAAAAAAAAAAGTTGGGGTTAGTGCCAGGTGTGGTGGTACACACCTTTAATCCCAGCACTCAGGAGGCAGAGGCAGGTGGATCTCTGCATTCAGGGCTGGAACTAGACTTTGTTGACATGAAAAATTAGAGAAAAGAAATTAAGATTATCAAGAGATTAGCAATGAGGGTGATAATGAGACTTTTTTTTTTTTTTTTTTGAAACGGGGTCTCTTGTAGCCCCAGCTGGTCTGGAACTTACTGTGTAGACCAGGCTGGTTTTGAACTCACAGAGATCTGCCTGCCTCTGCCTCCTGAGTGCAGAAACTTGAGTTAGGGAAGATTGTTAGCCTAGATGGCTATTTGATCAAAAAAAGATACATTTGTGTTCTGAAGAGCAGATGGCACAATGGCAGAAACCAAATCAATTTCAGTAGTGCATTAATTGTTATCTAAGCCTCAATTATCTAAGCTGTGTTACACAGGGTTGAGCAAATCATGTTAAGCCAGTTAGTTTTGATTATATACTATATTTTGCCAAACTTTCTTCCCAACCTGCAGTTCTGTGAAGCCAGCAGACTATCATTATAGATATGGTAATAACTGTGATTAATCATACCCCCTTTGTAGCAAACCACATTGACAATATTCAGCCATATTTGCTGTTGACCATAGTGCTCCTGCTCTCGTTTCCCACTGACAGGTAAAGACATTTCTGTTGCCACTTTTTTTTTTCCTGTTACTCTTATCATTATCATAGGCTAGAGACTTGCTCAGTCGGTAAAGTGCTTGTCATACAAGCATGATGACCTGAGTTTGAGTCCTAGCACCCATATAAAAAGCCAGGTGCAGCAGCACACACATGAAATCCCAGCACTGGAGAGATGGAGACAGGAAGATCGCTGGAGCTTGGTGCCCAGCCAGTCTAGACAAATTGGTGAGCTCCAGGTTCAGCAAGAGACCTTGAAGATGTCTGACTTTGTCCTCTGGCTTCCAGACCTGTGTATACACAGTTACACAGAACACAAAAATAAAGAAGAAAGAGACTTGATTGATCCCATTCAGAAGATTTAGAGCTAAAGACTAGAAATCAGAAAGGCTAATTTTTTCTTTATTATTCTTGGCCACCTTCTTACTGTGTTCTCATTTCCCCTACCAAGGGTTGGCTCACGGCTTAGACTAAATGTATGGACTCTGAGGTCCATGTAAGAGGCTATTTCTGCTATTTAAGATGAATAAATCTTCTTTTGTTGCCAATCTTTGCAGGTATAAAGAAGTGAATAAACGAGGACCCCGAAGTCTACTAGAGAAACTGCGCTGGGTGACCCTGGGCTACCATTATAACTGGGATAATAAGGTATTG